CTCCTCCGGTGAACTAAGAACACGCTTATCTCCCTGACCCTGGCCTTCATAATTCCATTCCATCACAGAAGCCCTACCAAAACTGTCAAAACAATCAATTTCCTATGTAATGTATTCTAAAAAGCTCAGAAGAATATATGCATGTATACACCCATCTAATACCCACCCATTGTTAGAATATGTAATTTATCATTACAATATTTTTAAAAGCCCACAAGCAGGATGTAAGAGCAATGACTTTAGAATGCTATTGTTCATCCCCCGCCTGTCCCCAAGATGGATTCCTAAATCCAGAGAGTTGGAAATGTTTCTGAAAAAGTCTAGGTTTTCACACTGTATGATGGCTCCTTAGCCCTCCAGCGGTGGAGACAAGAGGCATACCAAGGCATGCAGTAGAGCCATCTCTAGCTAGAGTTAAACCTAATTAACCTCTTATCAAGTAGAAAGTTGGCACAATTGCTTACCCACAGCCTTCAGGATATCACTGGGTACATTGTTTCCAGCCAATTCGAGCTGCCGTAGTGTCCGGTTGCTATGAAGACAGTTTAGAAGTGCTCGGCCCCCCAAGAGCCCAATGTTATTCCAGCGCAGATCTAAGCAAGAAACAAACATTCACGCAATGTCTTGCTTTCCCAAATTGGTGTATCAGGGTTGAAACTAGCCAACTTTAACCAGACCAAACTCTAAAAAGTATTTCTCAGAAGGTGCTGAGGAATTTATTATTAAACACTGCTTAGGAAGGTAGTAGCAAGTTATCAGCATAGCTTAACTGTTGATGGTTCTGTACCAAATTGTATAGAACAACCCTTTCAAGTTGTACCTGCAGTTGGACATTTCTGTTTTATTTTCCCTTACTTGATAGACTGTGTGCAAAAGTATCTACTTTTGTACAGATGTACTGCAGTACAATATCTCTGCAAGCTGAGATTCTTCATTAATTGTCCAAACATTATCTCCAATTCTGCAAAAAGGTATAGTTTGCTTACACACAGTTCATGCAATTTTCAAATTAGCAATAATTATTTCCAGGCTTCTGAGGGAGGTACGGTGAACCGAAGATGGCTCTGTTAAAGGAAAGCTGACGACCCTGGCAAAAACCAAGGAACCAGTAAGTAGATCAGTTCCTTGGCATCTCTCTGGATAAGGAAAGGACGGGAGATCACCCACATCTGCTCTGGACAGCTGCTCCATGTGAGGAGACCGCAGGTCAGCGGTTTTCCACAGGTTTGAGTGCTGGGAGACAACCAGATTAGCAATCTTGCTCAAAACCGCAGCAGAATCTTTTAAAGGACACTAAGTCCACAAACCTCACTTTCTAATCACTTTTAGAAATAGTTCATTAACTACTTCTAAGAGAGTCCTTTGGAACAAGAAGTTTTAAAACGCTGGGTGAATTTGCCTTCAGTCCTGAACAAAAGAAAATATTAATCACAAACTTAAGAATTTAAAGAATCTGAAATAAACAGCAAAAAGCTAAATAAGATTTTGATCTT